TAGATGGATCGAACTTACAATTTCGTCAAGCAGCGGCAGACTGAGCTTAGTTGAATATTCGACCGTTCTGACAAGAGAAGATTCGCTCTGACAAGGCGGCGCACTCGAGCACTAAACCGTTGATCTTCTACGGTATGAGGTACCATAGGAAAGACGAGAAGTTAGAAGAGCCTCATGCTGGACACATCGACTTCTATCTAAAGACGTTCGAGTTGGGCATGATGAAACCCATAATAAAATTACCATGATTGAATATTTAATAAACAATTAAAAAAAACCAAAAAGAAAAATTCATGATTTTCGGTGGTTTCATTTTGAAATCCCAATATTTTAGGAAGCCGACAATGGAGCCCACTGTTATCCCCATGCCTTCATAACTTAGTAGGAACTCGTAGAAAAATCGAACGACGCGAACTAGTCCTTTGTGATTTCCGGTACGAGCCACCATCTTCTTCTTCAACCAGAAGTTGTCTATCATTGATGGAATCAAACGACTTAAAAGCAACGCCAAACTTGACCACTAGCAACGACGGTGTTTTTGTCAAGTAAAATGCACAAATATATTACAAACAAATATATTAAGGCAATAATCAATTTAGGGTCTATTTGGTATGCAATCCAGGTTCTCTTTATTGATTTCAAATTCGCCCCATCAAGGATTCAGTAAATAGTTGTTTGGTAAATCTGTTGCGAAAACTGTTTTCGGAATTCTGTGATCCAAATATTAGAAATTTTAAAAACAATATTTTTATGTTTCTAGTGTCTTCAAATTTTGAATTTTAAACTTTTTTTTAAGGAAATTTTGAGTTTTCGTTTTTTGTTAAAGTAAAAAAGGGAAGATATAATACATTATAAAATGTATAATATTGTAAAATAATAATTATACAAAATTTATCACATCTATGTTAATAAATTAATTAATATTATTTTAGAGTTAACTAAATATTTAGTTAGTAACTACTACTAGTTCACAAATATACTATTAAATACATGGAACCATTTTTAATATTTAATTTCAAAAGTTGCTATCAAACACATGTCTGAAAATAGTGTAAACAACTTTGTTTTCATTGAATCCTTTGTTTTCAGATTTCTATTTTCAGATCACCAACTAAATACACCATTAGCTACTCATGTTCATAAGAGTACATCAAAATCCCTACAAAAAGTTCATAATAAAACTAGCAAAAATAACGGAAAAGAGAGAAACTTGTCATGTGTTGGATCGGTATGACAACCCTAGAGGGGGAATAAGGTTTAATGAAACTTTATAAAATTTTTACTACGGTGGAACCAAATTAAAAAAATAAGTAAAATTTTTACGAACAAATAATTTTAACATAAATTAGAAATAACATTTCAAGTACTCTAATTAATTTCAATATAAATATTGCACATAAAATATTAATAATAAATTCTAACAATTTATTTCATGCAATTTATAATACGAAAATTTAATTGCAAAGATTAAATAGAAGATGGTTAGAGAAAATAACATCGGACATTTTATAGTGATTCAGCAACACCGGCCTCCTCCACTTCCCAAGCTCCTTTTGGGTATTCGCTTAAGAAACTTGACTCTTTCCACGGTAGGAGCCAAACTACTGCAACGCCTTCTTTTTCCGTGAGCAAGAAGAAACCCGATCCTTTCCACGGTTAAGGATCAAACCGTTACAACGCTCTTTTTCAGGCTCAAGAGCAACCCTTACAAAGAATATTGAATTTGAATACAAAATAAAGCCCACAAATGACTTAGAGAAATAAATATTACAAGCTCAAGATCTCTCAAATAAAAAATATCTCTCATAAGAAATGAGAACAACATTGAAATTTTAAAGAGAAAAACATGGAGAGAAAATTGGGGAAGCATTGTTATTAAAATTTGAGAGAAGAAGAGGTTTAAAAAGAAGAAGAAAAGTTGGAAAGAAAATTAAAATCAAAATTAAATTTAGACACTTGGATCTTTAGTGATTAAAAATGAAAGGTTGAGATTTAATTTAAAATAATAATAATAAATATAGAGAATGGTTGAGATTTAATTTAAAATAATAATAATAAATATAGTAAAACATTCTCAACGGCCACCTTCCTTTTTTTGTTGTTTTTTTTTTTAATTGTCAAGCATTCAAGACAATTTTTTGTTTCTTTCTTTTTTTTACCTCAACGGCAACTATTTCTTTCTCTCCTCTTATTTTTTATTTATTTTCTCTCTTTTCCTTTTTTTTTAAACCACCAGTAGCTCTTTGGAGTTTTTTTTAAATAATTATTTTTTAAAAACAAATGATAAAAGTAAGATAGGTTTGAAAGTTATTCCAAAGATAGGGTAGGTAAATTGCAGCCTTTGCTACTATTTCAGTGAAGTTGCAGCCATCAGCTGCGATTTTAGGCGAAATCGCAGCCGTCGCCTGCAATTTAGTACGAAATCACGGTCATGGACCACGATTTCAATGAAGTCGCAATCGATGGCTGCGACTTCGCTTTGACGTGGCTCCACGTGTTGCGTGCGACTTGCTAGGGTTTTGGTGGGGACAAATTTGTCCCCACCCGTGGTCCTTCCCCTCCCACTTCATTTCCTTTTCGTCTCCTCGTGGTCCCCTCCTCCTCCATTGCCGCCGTCGACCATACCGTCGTCGTTCGACCTCCCCACCCGCTGCCTCCTCCATTGCAGCTACCACCACTCCACTTCTTGCCGCCGTCGCGATAGTACATCGACTGCTGGTATACCTTTTTTTCCCTTTTCTTTTTTATTATTAAGTTGATTTTGTTGGTATATGTTTTTTTTATTAAGTTTGTTTTGTCTGTATATGTATTTTTTTTTATTAAGTTTGTTTTGTTTGTATATGTTTTTTTGTTTGTTTATTAATTTTTTTTGTTTGTTTGTATATGTCTTTGTTTTTTTTATTAATTTCATTTTGTTTGTATGTCGTTGTTTGTTTGTATATATACTTTTTGTCATGAATTATTTAATTTGAATCATCCACTTCCAAATTAGGAAGCACCTTCACGTATGTTTACTGAAATAGATTTTGAGATTGTAGACTCTATATGTGAAGAAAGTTTAAAGTTGGAAGAAGGGTCAATGTCTGTAGAAATGAATGTGGATAACATACGTATAGGGTCAAAATTTAGGACCAGAGAAGAATTACAACTTACTGTCAAGAAATATTATATTGCACAACATTATCAATTGGTTGTAATGGAATCAAATCAAGATATGTGGTATCTAAAATGCAAAGAGTGGAATGATAGTTGCAAGTGGAAACTTCGCACTCGTCGACGTAAATCTCATGGGATGTTTGAAATTAGTGTACTTGAGGAGGTTCATTCGTGCTTATATGCTGAGCTTACACAAGATCACTCACAATTGGACTCAAATTTTATGTGCAATGAAATTCAGAATATTGTACGACGTGATCCTAGTATGTCTGCAACTTCATTACAAGAAGTCATAAAAAAAGATTTTGGATATTGTGTGAACTATAGACGTATGTGGCAAGCTAAACGAAAAGCACTAATTAAAGTTTTTGAAGATTGGGAAAAATCTTATGAAGAGCTCCCATACTGGTTGAATGCTTTGGTGCATTACAATGTCGACACTCGAGTACTCTGGGACTTGATACCTTCGAATAAACGTGGAAATCTTATTTTCGGGCGATTGTTTTGGTCATTTGGTCCTACAATTGAAGGATTTAAACATTGTAGACGATTAATCCAGATTGATGGTACACACCTGTATGACAAGTATAAGGGAAAATTACTTATTGCCACATCAATTGATGCAAATGGACATATATTCCCTATTGCTTTTGCTATTGTGGAAGAGGAAAATACTTTTAGTTGGTCGTGATTTTTGTGTGCCTTGCGAAATTTGGTTACCGAACGAGATGAAGTTTGTCTAATTTCTGATCGACATGGAGGTATTTTAACGGCTATGAAAAATAAGGAAAATGGTTGGAGTGAACCGAGAGCACATCATCGATTTTGTCTCTGTCATGTGGCTAGCAATTTCAAGAAAAACTATAATTCAAAGCCCTTAAAAGAGTTTGTGTATCGTGCTGGGTATCAACACCAAAAACGTAAATTTGAAAGATATATGTGCGAGTTACAACAACTGAATCTAGATTGTATTGGTTTTTTCACTCATATAAATATAGAAAAATGGACACAAGCACACGATCAACAATTTCGATATGGATGGATGACAACAAATCTAGCAGAGTGAATTAATGGTGTTTCCAAGGGAGCTAGAATGTTGTCAATTAATGCATTGGTGAAGTTTACGTTGTTTAAGACTATTACTTATTTCCAGAAAAGTAGAGATGATTGAAGGGATGTGAATCCCAGAGCGGAAACGGATTTTCTTTGCTGATTTTCGGGATACAAAACCGAATTTTACAGAAGAAAAATACAGAGAAAAACTTTACCTTTGAAAAACGTTTCTTCAACTAGTTTTCCTCGAACACCACCACTATTTCTTCCCTGCTATCCTCTTGGGTCTCGGGATCGTGCTGTTGGGAGCAAAAATTTGGAACGAGAGGGAGAGATTGAGCTTCTTGAGAGAGATCTAGGGATGCTTATTTTTTCACAGTGTTTGTTCTGTTTTCTTCAACCATTGAAGAAGAAGAACAATGACGTGGGGTAACTCCCCACGTCATAGCAACCCCCCACTCCCCTGCAATTTTGCAGGGGAGTTAATATTAATAATAATATTATTAATAATATTAATATTAATATATATATATATATTTATAATATATAATAATAATTAAAATATATATATAATAATTAATATATTTATAAAATTAATTAATCAAATTAATTAATATAATTAATTATTAATCCAATTAATAATTAATAAATATATATATACATAAATAATTAACATTTAATTATTTATTATAAAATTAGAATCATATTCTAAAACATTACTCTCGTATAAGCTATAGTTTTAATGTATATCTTATGCACATTATTTTTAACCTATAGTTTTAATATGAATCTTATTCATATTAATTTTATTTGAATCTCATTCAAATAATATCTCTCATAATATATAGTTTTAATTCACAATTAACTATATATTATAATGTATCAATATACATATAATTCCTTAAGTAATTTGAACAATTCAAATTCTTCCAAAAACCTTGATCCTCGTTTTACCCGTTATGAGCTAGCAAGGGGATCTAATGGACCTACAGATCCGAAGCTCCAACGATGCAAGATTAATCGATCAAACTCATTGACCAAGTTAATCTAGATTCGTTAACTACGGGTCATTCCACTAAAGACCCGCAGTTGCACTCTTCTCACTGCAGAATGTTTTCGTGTCCATGGATATACGACCATTAATGACGAGTCAATCCTTCACGAGTGTTCGTAACTCAAGTTGGGTCAAATTACCGTTTTACCCC